CTCTTCTTACCTCGAGGTTGTAAAAATGACCTTGTTTTTAAGAAACGACTATAATCATATATAATAATCCTGTGTTAGGCCCTAACATTAAAACATTTTCTCTTATTGATGTGTAGGGGGCAAAAAAGAACCAATAGAATGGAGAAAACTCAAAAGAAAATAAAGGCACAGTTCATTCATTTGTTTGGGAAATATTCAGAGGGGCCTTTTGTTCATCTGCACTGGACCAGAGGACAAAATACACATGGTTTCTGCCTACATGTTGCTTATAGTCAAATGGGGATGACAAGTAACAAACAAATAAATGTGTGGCTGTAAAATGTGACACGTGCCATGGATGAATTTTTAAAGGGCAGGGGGCACAGGGGGTGAAAGAGAACAGAAGGGACCGGGGGTGGGGAGGAACGTATTTTCTACCGGCTGGTGAGGGAAGACCAGAAGATGAGGAGCCAGTTTACAGAACATGGGCAGGGAAGAGGAGGAGTCAGGCGAAGGGACAGCTTGGGACAAGACTTGAGGTGGGAAAAGACGTGGCAAAGTTTGAGGAACCCAACATTGCCAGAATGGTGGAGAGATCGGGCAGAGAGGTGAGGCTTAGGGAGGACGCTGAGAGGTGAGTTGGTGTCCAGCCCGGCCAGCTCTCTCGGTCACGGTGAGGAGTTTGGATTTTATTTAGAGCAAAGGGAAGTCATAGAAGGGTTTTCAGCAAGAGAATGAAATGGCCCAGTTTTAATTCTAAATACACGATCTCTGCCTCTGGCTGCCGTATGAAGAAAGAAAAGAAGAAATTCAAGAATGGTCATAAGGAGACCGGATTAGAAGCCACTGATGTTCCAGGTGAGCCATGCAGGAGCAATGGAGATACTGAGAAATGGCAGACTCAAGACTTCCCCAGAGAAGATTATGTTCTACTTGTCAAGCAAATACACACACACACACACACACACACACACACACACACACGAGTCAGGTTATCTGGCAAGTGCAGTAAAGTCACATGTTTGGACACAGATTTTTGGAGAGAAGAGTCAAAAACAGTCCAGGACTTTCCCACTCTTTCTCCAGTTCAATCCTCTGGCTTTGCTCTGGGGTCTTCAGATGGTTGCTATGCTCGTGCCCCTAGATCAAAACATCCTCAGAGGAACCTCCCGGGCCCCGTCCCTACTGTCCCCAACCAATTGTCTCAAAGCTCCCCAGTTTGGATTTGGCCATCTCTGGAGAAAACACACATCTGGGAAGCAGCTGCCTGGCCACTCAGAAAATCATCTTTGTCTAATCCAGTTGAAGCCGGAGTGGAGAAGAGGCGTGGAGAACTGAGAAAAAATATAAAGTCTGTCCAAGATGGGATCTGGGTAGACTGTCAGGGGCACCGCCCCAGATCTTCGGAGACAAGCCTCCAGGGTAGCCACTGGGATTCCAACTGGCCTTTGTGCCTTTCTCTGATCCCTGCGAGACCACATGTATCCCACAGCTGTGTACCATCTGCTACCCTGCACCCAAATGAAGCTACAGTTTGGGTTAAAGACGTGAGGGGGAAGAGGCTGACTCTTCCCTGGCTCTGCAGAGTGAGTTATGGGAATAGGCATCCAGACTCCCCACGAAGTAGGCAAGTGGCCTGACAGCCATCTGCACAGTGGCTCCCCCAAAACTCAAAGAAAACTCGATGTTCTGGGGTTTCCCAACTCCTTCCCTACTAAACGTTTCAGACTCTAGCTTAGAAACCTCATCTTTCCTATTTACTCTCTGCCCTTCTCCTTTTCTCCACACCCCAAACATTTGCACCCCGAGTTCCCAACCTGGGTCGTCACGAGTCCTACAGCCTCTAGCCAGGCTGACGTGCAATCGTCCCCAGAGGGGAGAGAGCTGTACTCCCACCCAGCACATGATGTTATCGGCCCCTCCCTGAGCTCAGAAGCTTGGTGCAGCCCAGACATATGGATCTTTTTAGACTCTTGCAATTTGGCAATCCTGTTTCACACCCTCCAAGTCCTGCGGCTCCGACACTGCTCTGCCGGGACTGCAGCACGAGCGGGAAGGAGGGGACCTGGGAGCTCTTTTATTCTCCTTCTTCGTGTGTCATTGCTCCTGGCAACTGCCTACTGAATCTGGAAAACAATTGTTTCTCTCCTGGCCTCGTCTTTGGCTGAAAACAGGAAGGAAGAGAGAGAGAGAAAAGAAAGAACACAGAACTACTCTGGTTAGTCTTCCAAGACAGAGCCTGGGAGCCCCTCAACCAACCACACGCTTGGTCTTGCTCCTCCTCCTCCTCTCCATTGCTGGCCACTCCAGGAGGAGCCATTTACGTCCCCCAAGGTCTGTGTGAACAGCGCCGCTGGGTCTGTGCAGTGTGGGGCCAGAGCACCATGTGATGCATCTCCGCCTCTATCACGTAATCCAGCCTGAAGCTCTGTGAGTAAATTCAGAAATGATGGAAAATGCATCTCTGGAGACCAGAAGATGTCCCTGCAACTTTGCAGGCACGCTTGTCCCTTTTTCTGCCCCAGCCAGACGCACAGGAGGCTGCCATGTCTTGAAGGAAAGGGAGCCTTCTTGCTGTCTCTGGAAGAAAGAATGACTTCTCTGCTCAGGGACCAGAAGCCAGAACTGCCAAGGAGAAGGTTCTGACACTTACAGGTTTTATTCTCCTGATGCGAGACCTCTTGGATAAAGATGTTAAATTAAGAAGGGTCCAAAAATTTATAGGAATTGGGCTGGTGTTGACCCATTCTCCCACCCTCTGCCTCCGAGGTGGTCTCTTCCAAGCGCAGGCTTAACTCAGAAGATGTGCAGTGGGAGAAAGGAGAAGGGAGAAATGCTCCTAGAACCAGGCCTGGACCAACCGCCTTACTTTATGTGTTGATTTCAAGACAGAAAAGATCTCCACATAAAGTGCAACAGTCAATAGTTTGGGACAGATGTTTCCTTTCCAGTTGCATTTTCCTGTCCCAAGTTAAAAATAGCGACCCTCTCTTACTTTGTTTTCCATCAAATGTATATCATTAAAGCTGTCCATTGGGTTTCCAGGACAAAGACTGATAGGTTCCTGGATTTTATAGCTTGTTGGCCCAAGAAATGGATGCAGTGCTGGGTGCAAGATGATTCAGCCCTTTGAGGGGATTCTTGGACCATCTGGTGAAGGAAATTGTTTCTCTGCTCCTACCTTTAAGTAGCACCAAAGAGAGAATTTCCCAGTGAGGAAGGACAGTTTGCCAAAGAGCTCCACTTTTGTTGCTCCAAATAAATCCTTCATCTTGGAATTTCCTTGAAACCATCACACCGCCCCTCCTGGATAGCGTGGACCCTCTTTGGTACTCTGGCTTTAATGGAAATATAAATGTTGTCTGGTAGCACTCCTGAGTGATGCTGAAATAGGCCTGCACTGGCAAGAAAATTTATGGGAAAGCTAGTAAAGACACAAGGGAAATAAACAGAGACAATACCAGAAGTACAGACACACTCACATTCACAAACAATGGATTTCTACTTCCCAGGGTTTCGAAAATCTTTACCCAAGTTGCCCTCATCACTGACAGAATTGATTCACTCTTTAGCCAAGATGTTTGTAGCTATTAGCTGGCTGCTCCCTCAAACAACCCAGGTCCTAACAAATCTAAAGAAAAGAACTACAATCATGAATAATCACCACACTTTTTCCCTTTTCAAATGAAAATAGCTTTTCTGGTTATTTCTGTTTGTAAAAGTAATGCAGTTATTGTAAAATGAATAAATAAAAAGTCTGTGCTCCATACAGAAGCGAAAGTGACATCTGGCCCTAACGCCGCTGCCCCGAGATGACCAGTGATTATGTAAGTCATACATATGATCCCTTCACACACTGCCCTTTCCTCCCTCCCCACAGCAAAGGAGCATCGCACTGTGACATGCTTTTTTCCACCCACATGTCCTGTCACTAGCTCTTCATCACTATAGCAATGCACAGAAAAGCTGTGCATATAATATGCAAGTCCTGCTGAAACGTCACATCTATCTCTCTTATCCAGAAGCCTGTGCCTTAGGAAGCAAAACTGGGATGGCAGCCTTGGGCCAATGTCAGAGGAGGCAGGAATGAGGCATTGTGTTTTGCACCTCCTTTCTGAACATTATTACATTTTTGCCTTTTATGCTATCCCAAAGGGCCTATGAAAGATGCCAACAGATTATCTCGAGTGCCTGCCCTGATTTATCAGCTCAAGCTCACTCCCTTCTAAGGAACAGCCCCACCTGCTCAAGTCCAAGAGAAGGATGTTTTCCCAGCATAAGAATGATCTCCAACCCACTTGAAGTATATAAATATATATATATGTGCAATTTGAAAACTTTTATAACTTAAATATTTGTAACAAATTCAGGCACAAATTATTCACAAACGAGTAATGCTATAATGAAAAAGAAGACATATTCCAGTTAAAGTACAGATTAACAAGATAAAAGGAATTTTATCCACAACAATTTGAAAACGTTCATAAACACATAATTCCCTAGGAAAACAGCAAAATTTACTCAAGAGGAAATGTTTTAAACCTGAGAACTCTTAAAACAGTTACAGAAATGGAAATAGGGTTTTAAAATAATTCTATACTAAATAAAAAGACCAAATGATTTCACAGGAAACTTCTAACAAATCTTTAAAGAAGTGATCATTCCAACCTTACAAAAATTCTTCCTGAGAATATAAAAAAAGGAAATGCTCACCAGCTCACTTTATAAGCACTTCATAACCCCAGTACCCAAATCAGACAATAACAAAATGATGAAGAAATACAGACCCATTTCATCTATGAATATAGAAACAAGAGTCGTAAATAGAAGATTGCATTAGCAAATTAAATTCTACAGTATATAAAAAAGATAATAAACCATGACAAAGGTGGATTTAATGCAAAGTTGGTTTAATGTTAGAGAGTCTATAAATGTAATTCACTACACGACCATATAAAAGAGGAAAAATCATATATCATTTCAATAGTTATAGATATTTTTAAAATCATCATAAATTCACTAGTAAAGAAAGAAATCTTTTAATAAATTAGGAATAGGAGGTAATTTCTTTAGCATGATTTAAAAAGTACATTTAAAAAATTAAGCAAATGTAGTCCTAAGTAGGGCAACATTAGAACATTACCCTTTAAAATCTGCAGTGAGGCAAAGGTAAGATCAACACATTTGTCATTCCTGTAGTAGATGTTCTTGCCAGTACATTCACTTAAAAAAAATAATTCAGAGGGAGAAGGATTGGAAAAAAAAAATCACTATTTGTAATTGATATGATCATTTACATAGGAAACCCAAAAGAGTTCTACAAATACTGAGAAATAATAGGAGAATTTAACAAGTAACTCAATAGAAGATTAATATAAAACAATGAACTGTCACTTCATACACTAGTAACAAAAATAATTGAATACAAGATATTATTTACAACAGTATTAGAGGACTTCAGCTACGTGGGAATAAATCTAACAAAAACTGAATTAAAGCCACTACAGGGAAAATCATAAATTTAAAGAAGACCCAAACAATGGAGAACTATTCCAACTTCACTGAATTAAAGATTCCGTTCTCTCCAAATTCACCTACAGGGAAATTTTGATCAAAATCCAAAAGATCATTTTGGGGAGGAACCCATAAACAGATTCTAATAGATATGGAAGCGTAAAGAGCCCAGAATAGCCAGGCCACTTTTCCAAGGAAAATTTGAGTCTTCACTTAACGTACCTATATCAGGACTTATTTGAAGCTGCAGTAGATGAAGCAGTGGTACAGGCACTGGGATGCATATGATGACCAATGGGTAGGGAGCCCGGAAACAGGCCCACATATCTACGAAATGTTGGCACATTAACAGTCACAGCATTTCAGATCAGTAGGGAATGGAGGGATCACACCGTGAACAGAGCTGGGAAAGTGTTTCTCTGTAGGAAAAAATACATGAAACTGAATTAGTGCTGATTATGCATCCTGCATCTCAGTCTCAACCCCACGCTTCTCTACTCTTCTCTGTAATACTAGATAAAACGTGTGTTGGCTCTATTATGCGAGAATATTCAATTCTGCTCCAGAGGACCAAGAAAGCAAACAGGATGGGTGAAATTCATCAGACGTATTGACTATAGATGGTAAGCAAGCAAGCAGTTTGTGAGATCCAGGCAGAATTCAGATGTGCTAAAAATCAGAACGAGTTTGTAATCTGTAAGACATGCAAAAACAGAAAAAAATGGAGCACATTACAAAAAGAAGAGGACAAACAAGAGTGTTACTTACAGATAGAAATGAATAGAAAGATCAAGCCACAGGTCACCAAGTATAGAGCCTGCTTCCTCGGGGCTGACAGCCAGGCCACCCCACATTGTCTCCCCACTGGTGACACCATTCTGGCCCCTGTAGGCTCTGCCCTAGAAATGCTGACAAAAGGAATGCCATCCAGAAGAACACTGATGAGCTGCATGAATAAACCTGCCACCAGGCCTGCTTGTCCTGTGTCCCCCAGTAGAGCAAGGATACGTTAGTTCCAAGCATCTTTCACCTGCTGATACCTTAACCTCAATGCTGGTCCTCGTAGCCACAGTATTGGAGTGAAACACACGACTGAGATACTGTGATCCTTTTGCACCCTATCCCAAGTGGGTTAACCCCAATTCTTTCCTCTTGGTTCTGGCTGCATGCTTTCAATAGATTCAGTAACCTCTGTGGTTTGATCATCATTATTCAGTCTGAGCCTTCTTGGTCTGTGGCCTCTACAGCCTGCACATTGGGAGGCTTCCACTGAATGGAGCCAGTTCCCCCAAGACACTGGGGCTGGGAATCTATATGCCACGTTTCCCAGACTCCCTGGTCAGCTGGTTTCTGGTTAGGTCCTGCCAAGAGGAAGCACTGGAGAGAAATTGGCAGGTGGGAAGAGGAAAGGGGGGCTCACTTCTGACCTCTGGTTCTCATCACCCGACCCCTCCACTATCTGAACACCTCCACTACCAAAGATCCCTCTGCCAAACTGGGAGCCCTGAAAGCTTTTAAAGACCCGAAACAAATTAGCCATGTGGGGAAAAAAAGCCTTGATTCCAAAATATGAAGATGGAAAATCGAAATGAACAAACGTTTCATTAAATGCCTCCAAAAGGTAAGCGTAGCCAACTTGTAAACTGCAATCCAATTCTTCAGCAGCTATCCAGAAATGCAATGAAGTTCGAATTACAAGGACAAAATGAAGACTATGTCTTAAAACTCGAACATTTTAAAAACAATTTTCCTTTTTTTTTTTTACATCAAAGAAGTTATATTTAACATGGGATGAGGGTCTATTTTACATGGATTGATACGATGTGGGTGTGTTTTGGGGCTGGGAGGTGGGATGTTCAATGGTAAGGGTGGTCATGACCTAGAGGTCTATAAAGGGCCAGACAGAACCTCTTACTCTTGAGATTTCTGTTGTACCCTCCACTATGTCCAGTGTAGTTAACATCCCCTTCGCAACAGCTTCTGTAATGAAGTAGGGGAGCAGAGACGGCGAGGAGCAGTTAAGAAAGCTAGCGTTTTGAAGAGATGTACTAGCTCAACTCTATCTGGCCTGTGAAGAAACATAAGGTCCCAGGGCAGACTTGTGTCCAGTGGCTGGAACCTGAGTCTGTGGGTGGTTGGGGCGAGGTTGTGTGTGCTTGGAGTAATGAGTTTCAGGGAACCTGGAGAATAGAAAGAGTCGCCAGTTATCACCTAGTGTCATGGTTCTGGTGTCATCCGTAGCCTTGCAGAGAACAGTTCTGGTTTCTCAGAGGAAAGGAGTTGTCAGCCTCCAGTCCCCCTACTCCTACATCCTTCCCTGATGTCTGATATCCACTCTGCCCCTAGCATGTCTTCCTTCTACACCAGGGCTTCTTAAATTGAGCGTATATAAGAGAGAGTGCCCGTTAAAAGCGCAGATTCCCAAACCTTACCCTTGATCCTGTGTAGGCCACGTCTAAGACGCTCTGCTCCGTAGGATCCTCTCTCTCCTCTGCCCCCAAAGCTAGTTGAAAAATTCAGGTGCCAGAGACAAGTTCTTTCCTGTTCCCCGAAGCTTGCGCAGACAAATGGCATCTGAAGCAACCAGAAGAATTTACTGAGAACGAAGGAAGAGCCGAGGGGGCCAAATTGGTTTTCATACATAGCAAGGATTGCTGACCCACATTTTGTTCACAGCCTCTCAGTGGGTGTAAAGCAGATCCAGGTCCTGGAACTGAGAGAGTTGGGTTGGGGGAGGGCAACACTCTTTCTGTTAATTGGGATTTCCAAGGACAAAGGCCCGGTTTTAAAAATTTTGCAGCCCTTTCTGTCCCCAGCTGCAGGCCCTTGAGATCAAAATGTGGTCAGATCCGAATCACCACTTGCATTTTGAAACAGATTCATACTCTACCATCAAGTGCTACCAAATTTGCATCATAAGCCTTTGGTTTCATTATGTGATGAAAGGCTTTGTTTCCTTTGTAAAGGAAAGTCAGGCAACACGATCAGAATGGGGGTTTGGGGGTTTTCTTTTAGACCTGGACACCCTTCCACTTTCATAATGCTAGGGGATCTGCAGAGAAATAAATCAGAAAGAGCAAAGAATGCTGGGCTTTCCTCTCTCTCCCGTTGGGCTTTGTGGCACAGACATCATGGAAGGGACTGGACTGGGTATCTGTGGTCCTGTGATCATGTTTACCCGCTTCCGGTGCCATTATCTGCTCCTCCTGGCTTTTCTCTTCTCCAGTCTCCATCTCCCCCATCCAATCCATGACTGGGCTGACTGCTCAGCTCGAAGTTCCTGTAATTCAGATTACCAACATCCAGAGCAGTTCACGAGAAATAGGGAGCTCCAGGGTCAGTTCGGTAGAAGAGGCTGGAGTCAGGGGAAGTTCTTTTTCTTTTTCTTATAGGAAAGCAAGATGAAGCCCCTAGAGTCTCAGACGCGGGCTTAGAGAGGATGTAACTGGAGAGGAGGCATCCCAGGTGCTTGTGGGAGTCCTTTGTCTTTATGATGATGGTGACAGGATCAAAATTACGTGGGAAAATCAGGACGGTCCGGGGAAAAAAAAAACCCTGCAAATTAAAATAGACTTTGTAGGAAAAAAAGTGAAAGGAAAACTTGACAAGGACAGTTTGGGAGGGTAAAATGGATGATTACAGTCACATATGTGTCCTGCTCAAGCTTTATGCATCATTAATATACAGCACAGCCTCAGGTATGACTTTTCCTAAATGCATCAGATTGGATATGGGGTAAGTTTTACCTGATTAGCAAAAGGCTCACACATATCAACTCAGGTCCTCACCAGTAGATTCCTTCTGCAAGATTGTTCTTGGCTTAAAACTTTAAAATAAAGGAAAACAAAGGAAAGGAAATGGGAAAAAAAAATCAGAGGAAACTTGCCCCTTGCCCTGGCCCCTGGCAAGGCTGACGTTAAAGTTAAGTGGAAGTCGAGCTGGAATAAGATGGGGCCGCTATATAAAGTTGAACTAGGCATCTGGGGCCCTCGCTAAATCTTTTTGGCCTCAACGGCGGCAACCCCAGCCTCCCTCCTGTCGTCCCCCGCCTCTGGGACTGAGCAGGGAAGCTCACGTTAGTGGCAGCCAAGGAGAGAGGCCGGCCGTGCCAGGACTAAAGAGGGAGGGGAGGGGAAAAAGCAAGTTTCGCCCACCCCACGTTCGGGCGGAGGGGCGGGAGCAGCGCGTCTGGGCCGGGCGGAGCAGTGTCTTGGGCTCTGTGCATCTCTTCGGGAGCGGCGCGGGAAGGATGCTGGTCCGCAGGGGCGCGCGCGCGGGGCGCGGGATGTCGCGGGGCTGGACCGCGCTCTGCTTCCTGAGTCTGCTGCGTGAGTATGGGCCGCGCGCCCGGCCCTCCCGACTTGGCGGCGGGGAGGGTGGATGCTGTCCCGGAGGCTCAGCGCGCAGAGCCGAGTAACTCGGAGGGAAGGGACCCCTGCCCCAATCCACACCCCCACGCCCACGGCAGCGCCTGGCTTTGGTGCGGCGGGGACCGCTCGATCTCAGCCCAATGGGGACCGGCGGCTCACCTGGGAATCGGTGGGGGTGGGACGCGACGGGAAGGCGACCACACCGTGAGAGCGAACGAGCCCAGGTGTAAACCGGGCAGCGCGCCCGAGGCTTCCCAGAGTCAGACAATGCGACACGCTCGAATTGTCTCTAAAATAAAGCGCTTTGAAGATGCCAGTGTCTCTTCACGTTGCCAAAGGTGCGGAGGGCAGAGTTAGAGCCAGAACCAGGAGAGGGGAGGAAGGGAAGCAAGAAAGTTTTGAGGCTGATGGTTGATGCAGAAAGCCGCGACCTGAGCGGGTTTAAGGAAGAGAGCCCTTGCGCCCGCCAACCGCTAGGACAGGGGGAGTCAGAGTTGGACGTTCAAGGAACCAGAGCAAAGACAATCTGGCACCGGGCCCCAGGTCCGAGGCCCAGGAGGCCCAGGAGGCAGGCTGAGTTAGGTGACCAGGGGAGTTTGGAATGAAGAACAGTCTGTAAAAATGTTCTTGCTTTTAAGATCCTAAAGCTAAGTTACAACTCCCTCTTCGGACAACTACACCCGTTGCACTGGAGAGAAAGCGCTGGTGGATGGAGTCTGTTCCGGGCCTGCCCCCCTTTCCCCACCACAACCCCTTGCCCTGGCACAAACTCAGATTTGTTACAATTGGGAATTTTCTTCCCTGCCCCTCTCCAAGTTCTAAAACTAGTGGACAGGTCTGCAGACTGGTGGCCACCACCCCTCTGCTCAGCCACCCATATCCTTACTTCTTAAGCTCTTGCTGTTACTTTGGTTTAAAAAAAAATAGTAGGCATCCAATAAATATTCTTAATTGCTTTCATTTGAGGAGAACATTCTCCATTTCATCTCCTTGCTCTTAGAAGATTTTAAACATTCTAAGTTGTTCTCCTTTGTGCTCAAGATTTTGCTTCCAGGCCTCCAGGGCTCCCAATTCCCTATTCTTGCTACATCCTAGAGGCCACCCACCATGGCCCCAGAGAGTGACCTGGGCCAGCCAGCTAGGCCTCTTTGCTCTCAGTCTCCTCCGCTGGCCCCCTTTGGGTCCACCCAGTCAAAGAAAGACTCTGGGCCAGAGGAAGCTCTAAGTTAAGCCCTGGGTTGACCTGTTAGGCAGCCCCAGACATGCCCTTTGGGACAGGGAAAAAGCTGTCACTAAGGTGTTGAAGCCCTAGAATGGGGAACTGCCCAGGCGTCTAGCCTGCAACCTCACAACCCAGTGAGTTGACCAGCAGCTCAGATTCCTATCCAATGCTCCAGTCTCCTTTGGCTACACAGCTCATGATGACCTGGTCCTGGGCCGAGTGAGGCCCACCCTTTTCTTATTTCCTCAGCTGGCTGGTCTCAGTCTCGCCTTGGCCTGCAGCAGTGAGGATGGGGAGAGCAATTTAACCTCTGCAGAAACTTGGGCAGATACGTAAGAATTTCAGTATCTCCGCTTTGAGGATGAAGGGTGGGGCCTGGGTCTCTATTCTCCATCGTGCCAGACTGCTCTGTCCAATTCGTAGCTTTGTGCCTTCCCTGAGAGCTTTCTAGGGCTTGTTTTTATTTAACACTAGGAGTTGTTTTCTGTTACATAGTGGAGTAAATGAAACAACTGCCTTGAAATACTCACAAAGGGACACTGCAGAAATTCCTCTCTGACCCTGGCAAAGAGCTTTGTTCTGGGAAGGACTCTTTTCTGTAAGAAGCTGGCCTGGGGATGGTACAGCAGCCAACCCAAAGTAGACCTTTTTTGTTGGAGGTGAGGTGGCTCTGCGTGGTGACCAGAGGCAGGGTGGGGGCTGAGAGGCCACCAGACAGCATTGCCACTCACCAGCTGCGAAGAGAAATCTTTCAGGTAATTAGGGAACCCCATTTGTCAGGCCCAGGGTGTCTGTTTCCAAGCCCTCCTCGGCCTGTCCTTCCTCTTGCCCTGATAAGTCCCACCCCCCAGTCCCACCCCTTCACATTCCTCTTCTTCCTTTGGGTCCTTCGTGCCTGCTGACCCCACACCCATATCCTGTCTGGGGCTACGTGTAAGAGGGGAAAAAGAAAAAGGAAAAGAATTTTATCAGATATTTTCCAGAGGGGAGAGGACTCCACCCTTTGAATCCCTGCCACATAGTGACCAAGAGAGAGCAGCCTTGGGGCCTCTGACTAATTCAGTGGTCCCCAGTGCTCCCCCTTGTAGGGCCAAACCAATTGGCACAACCTTTGCAAATGCAAGTCTTCAGCAGCATTCCTGTTTAACTGATAAAACGCGCCTGGGCATCTTTTTCTTATCCTTTTGGCTCCACCTCCTGGGCCTCTTCCTTCACTTGTCTTCATTGCCTTCCTTCTCTGAGACTTTGTCTCCAAAATCTTAGGGACAAGGAGCACCAATCTGCCACAGATAAACTCAGGCGCACAGCCTTGCAAAAACAAACCAGAGGGAGGAACAAATTCCACTTCTTACCATCTCACTGCCCGGTTTCCTTTAGGGCCTGGGCAGGAGGGCCTGGGCTTGCTTTCAGGGCTGGATGGTTACCCAGCTCCACCCTCAGGGTGCCTAGGCCTCCTTCTCCCATTGACTTTGCTGGATGTCACTAAATGGCCCTGAGTGTGGAGCACTGAAAATGTGAAGGTGTGGAAAAAGAACAAAACACAGCCCTCCAAAAGAAAAATGCTCAGTTGCCAGGGTAGAATTTCCATATTTTTCTGGGCTTTGACTTCTCTAATGAGAACATTCTCTTCCTTCCTCAGCTAAGAAATAAAAACACAGGAGCTACAATTTTTAGTCCCAAGGGCTCTTGACTTTGCTAAGGAGAAAGACACATGCATCTTGGGAGAATGTGATACACACGAATAGGGATGTAGACCAAGGTGTACTTCCTAGGACCTACACTCCGGAGCCCACCAGAATGAATCACGCCCCTTTGGACATAAAGGAAAAGATGTCTGGCTTAACTAGGAAGTCTTCTTCTGATTTAAGGGGGGAAAAAACCCCAAAGAACCCACAATTGATACCTTCTAGGGGAGCAACCTCTGCAGATAGCCAGCTCCATTGTTTAAGAAAATGCCTTAACAAGTCTTTGGGTAAGAAAACCTAGACCTCTGGACAAACCTTTGAGGTCCAAGGCAGACAGGAGGTTGAATTGCTGAGCATGAGAAAATAAAGTGGCACTTTGTATTTGATGGGCCCAAAAGACAAAAGACTATAGGACTCCAGAGCCCAGGAGAGCATAGAGAGAAGAGGGGAGGCACCCAGAGCAACAGGGAACAGTAGTGAGTGGAAGGTGGAAAAGACCTGGCTGGGAAAATTCCTTCCGGCGTGGCATGGCTGTTGAGCACAGGAATGTCTAGTAGTCCAAGAAGATGCTGTTGTCTCTTCTGAGCTGGGCTGTAATCTCACCCTGTGATCTCCAGCTCACCAATATCCACAGCAAGGATGCTTCCTGAATGCTTCCAGGAAGGATGGGTGGCTCCCTATCTCCCAGAATTATTCATTCTAGTTTTTAAAAAATATAATCCCATGATGATAAGTTTTTCTTTGTATTGCAGTGAAATTAGCCTCTGTAAAACTTCTAGTCATTAATTCTAATTCTCTTCTTTGAACTCACAGAATTAATCTGATTTTTCTTCATTGTCAGCCTTAACAATCTTTCCAGTCTACCTCACTAGATTATAAGCTCCTTGAGGACAGGGTTTATTTAAACTCTAGTGACACACGTAACAGCAGAAAAGAATCTTCTCTTAGTTTGTGCTCTGCTCCACACAGTGCCAAGCTTGGTCCTTTGCACATCATGGGTGCTTCGGAAAAATAAGAATGAATGAATAAGTGAAATCAATCTTGAAGAAAGGTATCTGTTCTCTCTCCCCAAATTCTTTTCTGGATCAAAGTTCAGCAATTATTTTTTTCCAGTGAAAGGCCAGATAGAAAATCTTTCAGGCACTGAAATCCATTGTGGTCTCTGACATATGTTCTATTTTGTTTAATTTTACAACACTTTAACATATAGAAGCCAGCCTGGGCTCACTGGTCAAACAACACACAGCTCCTGGGTGGGATTCGATCCACCAGAGGAAGTTGCCAACCCCTGATCTAGATGGAAAAACACTCAGCCCTCAACCATATGACTTGGTTTGTAGAACTTTAGTAATTCTGGTTATCTCCTCGGGGGCACTCCCTTAATTGAATAAATTCCCTCTTACAAGATAGCATTGAATGAGATGGCCCTCCCCGGAAGTGGTCAGTGTGAAAAGGCCTGATGCAGCTGCCATTCACACCAAGCGCTTATTGTGACGATTGTGCTAAGGACCCTGAGTAATACAAACAATTGTGAGAGATGGTTCCGGCACTCAGGATATCTGTAATGGAACAGAGGTGACAAGATCTATACTCAGGAAGCAGCATATATGATCTTGCGCCAGATAAGCCAGGCCACAGTCCGATTACAGAGCCCAGGCTCTGTGTTTTGAGGGCCTCCTGTCTTCTCATCAACACAGACTGTGGGCTCCCAGCAGAGGCCGGCTTGTTCCTTCCTCCAAGTACTGCATCCCTTGGGATTAAGATACCCAGAATCTCCTCCAACAGACTCCTCTTGCTTGCACCGGGTGCTAGAACTTGAAAGGATGGGCAGAATGGGGCTGCCTGGCTAGGAGATCAGAAGACAGCCCCAACAAAGAGGAACATAAGAGGGTCTGTGAAAAACAAGACCGAGTATAGGAAAAACCAGTCTCCTAACGGACAGGGATTTAGGAGTTTCGGTAGCAGAACTTCCTGGATCTCTGAGG